CTGATGCACATATTCCTCACGCTCCAGCATCTCTTTGATTTCATCCTTCTGAACTTGTAAATTCCCATTCAGCACAATGGGGGTGGCTAACATGGCCAGGATGAGAGCAAGTGTTGGAGACATGGCCTGCTGGCAGAAAGGGGACTCAGCACCTCTGCCTGGGAGCCAGCAGGGACCTGGGGCCACCTGGACTGGCAGCCCTGACGATCCCACTTCTCACTCTGCCTTGAAACCCCCAGCCCAGCTTTGCCAGCCCCCACCCAGCCCAGCGTTCCCCCTGCGTGTGCACTCACCGCCTGACAGACTCCACCTGCCCACTGCTGGCCCTGGACACACGTGCTGGCGGCACCTGGCCTCTGTGATGTCAGCAGCCTGTCACACAGCTTGGCAGCGCCTCTGTCACAGCTCCCACTGTGAGCTGTGCCCTGGCACCTCACAGCCCCCAGTGCCTCAGCTCTCTCAGCCCCAGCCTTCTGTTATAAATAAAAATCCCAATGTTCAAATTATATGTTCTTCTTTCAATCCCAGTTTAAGCCCCTGGATAAGGGGTTTTGGAGTTTTAAGTCCAAAAAAGGGTTCGCTGTTAAGAAGTTCATATTTGTTTTATTGTTTGGTGTTGCAAGCTCTAAAAGGGCCCACTGTCAAGAAGTTCGTACTTGTTTTATCTTTGCATTTGTATCCCCATCCCTTACTCTCTCCCAGCCCATTGGGTTATTTAGCCACTGCTACCCAGGATGAACTTACACATTTCCCATAAAGACTTGCACAAGGGTGCATATTAAAATCATATTACCACCTGGGAGCGGAGACAGCTCTGGACAACGAGCCATTCTCGAGGAACATCTGGAGGACCACACTGTGGAGGCAGCAGGGACCTGGGGAGACTGGGTACGCCAATCCCAATCTGGCAAGCTGGTTGCTATGACCTGGCAGGACTTGAGAGGGACAACACCCCTAGACCTTCGAGCCTCAGACAGAGCCTCCGGGCGATCCTGGCGAGGATAGAGGCTCCAGTCCTGCTGACAGTGGATGACGACAGGCCTGCACGATCCTCCTCCTCTATGTCGACCACAAGGAACAGCGGCAGCGGTGCGCACCCCGAACCCCCACCTCTAGGCCCAGTTCTATCTAATAAAGGCTTGTTAATGGGAGCAGAAGGTCTCCTGGCCCTTTAATTTACATCACTTCGTCCCCACCGCCGGCCTCAGCGGCTCCTGGCCATCCTCCTGCTGAGGCCAAAGCCAGCCCCAGCAGCCCCCAGGCTGCTCTAGATCCAGCCTGCAGACACCAATTGATGCCCATTTTAAAATCCACCAGCCCCACAAATGGCTTCTCTTTGCTTCCGGCCTCCAAAGGCAGCAGAGCTCCCCTGAGGCCAGCCCTGCTGGCCCACGGCCTGTGCGGCCTGCGGGAGGCCGGGCCCCAGCCCAGCGGTTCCCGGGTGGGGACGGAGGCTGCGGGACCCCGGCCCCAGGCTCAGCCTGGCCACGGCTGCTGACATCTCACCCACACTCAGCCCCCATGGCGCCCCACGGCTCCAGGCCCAGCTCCCCGCCCCAGCACTTGCCCGGCCCAGGGAGGCCGCCAAAGCACCTGAAATCCAACACCGTGCCTGCTGCTGTGCCACTGGGTGGGATATTCACCCTGTCACTGCAGCCATCGCACCTGCACACCTCCATCCTCCCTGCAGGGAGAGAGTGACGACACCCGGAAAAACAACAGGAAAACGCCAACATCAGACAAAGAAGGAGTCAAGCCTCAGATAGAAGGAGAATGAAGAAATGCCAAAAGGGGCTGAAATATTCTATTGCTAGGGCCATGGAGATACACAATGATCTACTGAAATATCTCCTTTAATTCCTGAGAAAAGGATGGGGGGATGAAGTATTCCAACTAGAGATCTCAGCAAACACATCTGTTGATGAAACCAAGCAGTTGTGTAGGGTAGCTGCAATGCCATGAGAAGCTTCAACAGAGAGAGAGGGAGGGAGAGGTGAGAGTGAGGAAGACCCTTTGCCCCCAGGGAGAAAAGAAGAAAACCTCTGTTCCCAAAGATCATCACCGAGACAGATAAAGAAAACCTTTGAACAACTCATCCTGAAAAGAATACCCCGTGACTTCATGGCCCATGGACACACCTTTCGGAGAGCTGTGAAAATGAGAGCAATGTCACTGTGCAGAAGTTTTGCCCGGGCGGCTGCTATTCGTGGAAAGCAGACACCACGAACAAACTTTGTCTTCTGGAGAAACTGATGAAAGACTACTGTATAGTTAGTCCTGCTTTAACATTCCAAGTTTTGTCACTATGTGGTCAATTGAGGACGGAAAAAGGCAGGCACAGGGAGGAAAGGTGTTCTGGAAGATTTATTCTGATGCTCCTTATTCTTGTACTCTGGTTAATAAAGTTTCTTTCTAGCTCTTAAGTTTTAAGCCTGTTTTGCTCTTCTCCTAATCCATGCCACTCAACAAGCAGTAAGTGCGTGCCCAAGTGATTTTAGCCAGCACTAAAACCCACCACGCTCTGCAAATCTGCTCTGGGACATCAGGGCTGTCTTCTTGTGAGATTTGGCCACCTCATTAAAGCCAGCCCCACCACCAGGGCCTGCCCTTTAATGGGCACCAGCCCCACCACCATCAGCCCCTTTCCTGCTCAACTCCTTCTTCTTCTTCTTCTTCTTCTTCTCAATTCAGACCACTTGCTCTCTCATCAGGCAACAAAAACATTAAACCGAACACATCTAAACCATAGACAAAGTAGCAAAAACATAGAACAAATATTCCTCCTCTAAACCTAGAAGCTTTTAGGGCTGCAGCAAAATGTCATTTCATCTCTCACGGGAACCTGTCTCCAGATGAGATGGAGCTGAGGGATACCAACCAAATTTTTAGTTACTGTCCAAGTTTATTGTATGGACAATTTGCTAACATTTGTGTCTTCTAATACGAATGCTTTGTCTTTCTGTTCTTATCACAAGTGACTTGAATGTAGACCCAATATTAGTCAAAGGATCGCATTTTATTTATTTTGAAAGAATTAAAAATGGTGTAGGAAAATCTCCTATATTTTTTCTTAACAAAAACTTAGACATATTTGAAATCATATTCACCTTCCCAGCTCTGCCTTGGGAGGTTTTACACTTAAGACAATCTGGATCCATCTTCCAGCTTTCATAAGAAAGGAACAAAAGAATCCTAAGAGAACATAAAATCATGTCCCCTGAGGAATGGTTGACTTCACCTTCCTCAAGTCCTTGTTGGTGACAAGGCTGTCACCTCAGCAGCAGTGGCACGGTGCCAGTGAGTCTGAGAGGTGGCAGCTCTCTGGCCCGCACGGTGCCGCTGGCAGAGCCGGCTGGCTGCTGCCTACTTGAGGCTCAGGTAGGCACCTGAGCTGCCTTGCTCCAGAGCCAGAGCCATCTCAATGCTGCAGCGCAGGCCTGAGGTGCCGCTCAGCTGGAAGCTGCAGCCCTTGCCGGAGGGCAGCGCCGTCAGCCGGCAGTGGCACGACTGGGGCAAAAGCTGCCAGGCCGATGTCACCAACATCTGGACCCAGCGGGTGACTTTCTCGGCGTCCAGGTACGAGCCCGTGCAGAGGGTGTCCAGCAGGTACCACTCCTGATCCCCGGGCAGCTGGCCACCACAGGCGTGGAGAAAGCACCTCGGCCCCAGCAGCCGCTCCCCGCAGCACAGGCACTCCAGCGCCACACGGACGCGCCCGGCTGGCGGATGCTCCGTGCTCTCCGGGATGAAGGAGTGGCCGGGGGGTGGCCGCAGCAGGACCAGCGGGCGGTAGGTGCTGCTGTTCTCCTGGACGCTGCAGACTTCACAGCTGCTGTACGTCCCGGCGACCAGGTGCAACTCCGGCATGAAATTCCTTCGGGACAGCACTCGGCAGACACCGAGGAGCTCGTCCAGCAGTTCCTTCAGACCCTTCGTGCTGGACAGGTCCTGCTGGAGAAGCACAGAATCCCAGAAGGGTTGGGCTTGGCAGTCACCTTGCAAGGCCATCCAGTGTGACATTCTCAACTAGATCAGGGCGCTGACAGCGGCTCCAGCTTTATCCTGGATGTGCCCATCACTGATGGGGTGGGCACAGCCAAAGGGCTGCCACCACTCTGCACCCTTGACCTGAACCTCGTCATCACTGACCTCCTCTCCGCTGGGCTCCTTGCTCGCAACCATCACGTATTTCTTGAAACACTTCAGCTCCCTGCAGCTGTCACAGCCACGCTTTCTTCGCCTCACCAGCCAGCAGCCCATAGCCAGAAGAACCAGAAGCAGCACTGCTGCACTGGCCCAAAGCAGACACTGATGTTGCCAGGCAAAAGACAGCAGCATTTCCATGGGACCACTGCTCCCCTCAGTCTCCTCCAGGAGCTGTCATCTCCTGATGCAGATATTCCTCATGCTCCTGCATCTGTTTTACTTCATCCTTGTCAAATTCTAAATTCCCTTTCAGCACAGCGGGGGTGGCTACAAGGGCCAGGACGAGAACAAGTGTTGGAGACATGGCCTGCTGGCAGAAAGAGGACTCAGCACCTCTGCCTGGGAGCCAGGTCCTTACCTGGGGCCACCTGGACTGGCAGCCCTGACAATCCCACTTCTCACTCTGCCTTGAAACCATTTTTGAGAATTCACAGTAGTTTTGACCATTGAAAAGTGAGATCAACCTGTGAACACCACCTTAAGATATGAACCCAAGAATTTCTTTGTCTATTTCTGTCTGTGAAGTGTAGCAGAACTCCAGCTGGCTCCCGTCCTTGGCCCAGGCCATCTGGCCCCGGTGGGGTTTGGGCTGGGCCTGCCGCAGCTCCTGAGCCAGGAGATGGAGCCTGCGGAGCTTCTCCCACCCCCAGGCCAAGCCAGGCTCTGCTGCAGCTTCCCTAGAAGTGTCCATGGTGGCTGAAACTTTTCTCGAGAGACTCCTGGCTCTGAGCGCTGCTGAGCTGAAATTTGGCACCATGAACACCTGCGGCTTGAGCAAGATTTTAACCCTTTTACCACCCAGACGAGACTTGCAGATTTAATCATTTTTCCAGGAAGGCAAGAAAGAGTGATCAACAGATAAACAGACAACATAAACTATCAAAGGCAGTGAAGAAAGGAATTAAGCTTCAGATGGGGGAGAGAAATAAGGAGATGCTTTAATAAGCTGAAATGTTCTTTTGCTAAAAATGTGGAGATGGACAATAGTGTTCTGAAAAAGCTCCCTTAATTCATGAAAGAGTATTTTTGGGGGAATGGAGTGTTTCAAAGTGCGGATCTAAGCAAATGGTGAAGTAGTTTTGATCCTATGAGATGCTGGAACAGAAAAAGAGAAGTAATAGTTGTTGAAGATTTGTGGCCATTAAGAGGCAAAGAGAAAACTTCTGTTTCCAGAGAGGCTCGCAGAGACAGATGAAGAGAACTTCTGCCTTTGAATAACTCATCCTTAAAATGACACCCCCTCTCTTGACTCCTGATGCAGGAACACACCTCAGAGTGGTGTGAAATGAGAGGAAAGGACTGGTGACAGTTTCCCGGGCAGCTGGCATCAGAAAAATAGAAAGTCATGAGAAAAATTGTTTTCTTGTGAAAACTCCATAGATTGGCAGAAGAGGAATTTCTTTTTCTCAACAAAGACTGATGAAAAGATTATAGCAAGGTTAAGACTTTAACCACCAGGTTTTTTTGTCTCTATGTTGTCATGTGAACAAGAGAATGGTTGGGTAGTGGGGGAAAAAGGTTTCTAGAAGTTTTATTTTGGTTTCTTATTCTTGTAGTTTTGTTAATGAACTTTATTCCTTATAAGTTTTAAGCCTGTTTTGCTATTCTAATCCGTATCTCACACCAAGAAATGGGTAAGTTTCCTAGTGATTTTTTAGCTAATGCTTTAAAACCACAACAGTACTGGATTATATTAAACTCAGTATTAATTTTGTTGTGTAGGCTTGATTGAACTGGATTACAAAGGAATATGGGCGAATATTGGAACTTTTTTATTTTTTAATATATTAATTTTAGATCTGATATTACACTTTCCTTCCCAGCAATGCTGTGAGGTCTCTGGGCTGCTGCAACTCCTTGGGAATTTTTTCCCACAGACATTTTTGAATTTTGTTATTTATTTCAGCTTTCTTTTCCATCATCAATAAGAAAATAAGATATGCCAGCAATTTTGTGTTTGTTTGGAGACATCATCCACCCCCATAACAACACAGTTATTTTCCAAGTTGATTTAGAGGGTTATTTTGGGCCTTTGGAAAATTATTTCTCTCATCATAAACTATGTGTTTTCCTATTCTGAGGGTGTTTTAGTTTTTTCTGAAGCCTGAAAAAAGGAAGTTAAATAAATTTTTAGTGTGCTAAAACAACTCTTTTGCATACTCATTGTTTTCTGATTAGACTACTGAGAAACACTTTTTTTTTTTCTCCTTTGTGGCTCTGCTTTTAAGAGTCAGTCTAGAAATCAGAGCTGTTCATCTGCCACCTCTGGAGCACACACACATTCCATGCCTGCCTTCCTTGTCCTGTTTTCCACCCTCAGTCTGGAAATACACTCCCCCAGAGCAGGAATTGTGTGTTGTTATCTTAAAGTGAGTTAAGAGAGGGTCAAGTTCTTGAAATTGAAGTTGAGAAAATTCTTTATGATGCTAAATGAGGATTTTTGTTCCCAGCTTAGCCTGCAGCTGAGCCTGGATTTGCCTTCCCATTCGTACAAGGTTGACCCACACTTCTTGGCCAAACCCTCAGAAGTTTCATTTATTCAGAAGGCCTTTAAGAACCCTTCTTCCTATCAAAACAGTTTTAAGTAACAAGATTAATTGTTACTGGTTAATTAAGAAATGTGTTCGGTGGGTGTCATGGAGTTACTTTACCTTTAAGGGAGTTGGAGTTGCTGGGAACTGCTTGGAGTCTTTTCTCCTGACCAATTATCGGTCATTGCTGAAAATTGACAGCAGTTTAGGCCATTGAAAAGTGGGATCAACTTGTGAACTCTACCTTAAAGTGTAAAAGCAGAGCTCTCTGGGTTCTCTTTGTTTCCTGGCTGTGGAGGGTGGTGGAGCTCCAGGCCTCCCGTCCCTGCCCAGGCCATGCGGTTGGGCGGGGATGGGGCCGGGCCTGCCCCGTCTCCAGGCCGGGAGATGGGGGGGCCTGGGGAAGGTTTTCCTCGAGCCCGGGCCGAGCCAATCTCTGGCTCGGCTGCAGGTTTTGCTGTAACTAATTCACTAGAAACTGCCTAGTGAAGAAAGAGAGAGGCCCTGGACTTGCAGCGGGTTGGAGCAGCGACCACACGCTCCAGAGCAGCCATGAAGAACCTTCCATCGCAGACGGCTCCAGCTCCTGTTCAGCAGAGATCTCCGAACCATCTACAAAAGCCTGGGCAAGATTTTAACTCTTTTATTACCCAGATGAAACTTGCAGATTAATCTTTTTATCCAGAGAGAGAGAAAGAGAGAGATCAACATGAAAAGAGACTTTATAAGCTACCAGTGACAGGAAAGAAAAGAAGCTTCAGGAAAGGTAGAGAATTAAGAAGATGCTTTAATTAAGCTGAAGTATCTTTCTGTTAAAACTATGGAGATGGACAATGAAGTCCTGAAAAGAACTCCTTTAATTCATGATACAGTATCTAGGGAGGAATAAAGTGTTCAAAGTGTAAATTTGAGTAAAAAGTAGAGTAATTATGGTATAGTGAAGTGCTGGGAGATTTGAAGCCTTGAGAGGCAATGAGAAAACTGTTTTCTGGTGAAGCTCACAGAAACAGATGAAGAAGACTTTTTTTGCCTTTGAATAACTTATCCTTAAAAATGCTATCCCTAGACTCATGGCTCATACACACTTCAGAGTGATGTGAAAATGGGAGGAGTGGGCTCTAATAATAGCAGCTCTGGGCAGCTAACATTAGGGCAATAGAAAACTATAACAAAAATAGTTTTCTTGTGAGAAACTCCATAAATTAACAGGAAGAAACTTCTGTTTCTCTACAAAGACTGGTGAAAAGACTGTAGCAGGAACTGGGACTGTTTTAACCACCAAAGTTCCAAGTTTTTTGTCTCTGTTGTCATGTGAACAAGGGAATAGTGGGTAGATAGGGGATGAAAAGGTTTTTTTCTGGAAGTTTATTCTGGTGTTCTTACTATTGTAGTTTGTCAATAAACTTTCTTTTTTTTCTTCCTTTTAAGTTTTATGCCTGTTTTGCTCTTGTTCTAATCCATATCTCACAGCAAGAAGTAAGTAATTTTCTTAGTTATTAGTTTAAAACCATGACAGTGGGGAAAAAAAAATAAATTTCAAAGGCACTGAAGTGAAAGATTTGCGTTCACAGAAATCTGTTCCTATAGGTAATTTTTCCTGATGGCCTCAAGGCTTTTTGGACATGGTGAAATTATTGTTTTTACCCACACTGCATGCCCGTTTGTGAAAGGTGTGGACCCCTGGCTGCCCCTCTTCTTGTCTCAGTTTTAGTCACCTCAGCTGCTTGACATTTGTATCCAGGATAATCATGGTTTTTTTATCTGTCTGCCTGTCAGAGCCAGGTGTTTGCACCAACTATAATAGCAATAATAATGTTTCCATTTTCTTTAAAATCCTAGTTATTTTGGCTTCAAGGATTCTACTGATGCCTCTATAACCTACTGTATAATTGATCAATTTGTAGCAGGGCCTCCTAACACCAATCTTGTGCAGAGAGGATCAACACAAAATCCGTGGTTTTGCTGAAAGAATTCACTCCAATTTCACAAAGTTTCAAGTCTCAGCGTTGGTTCCCTTGAGCATCTTCAACAGGGCAAGAAGGAGAAGGGCACTAAGGCACTGCCAGGGTGGGAAAAAAAAGTAACCAATGCAAGATGGGCAAAGCATAAAAGAAAAATACAGGCTTTTTGAGATTGTCAGGATGCATCAGATATTCAGGAGACCACGGAAGAGAAAAACAGACATGATTTGGAAATTTTTTTATTATTTTTTTTAAATCAGATCCTATTACCTTTTCTGAAAGTAAGCCATTTTTTAATTGGGAAAATTACAGGGTAAGATAAAATAAAAACTATTTTTGATAAATAGATCACGTTCCTCTTGGGAATATGAAAATGGAAAAATGACAAAAGAAGAAAAGGGAGGAAAAGCCCTTCTTGAATATTTTAACAGTTGCAGCAAAAACTGAAGACACCATGTCCTGTTCAGGTAATAAACTAAAAAACTGTGTGAAGATTCAACTTGACAAGACGAAAAACAGATTTCACCATGCTTTTTTAAACTCCCTTCTAAAACTGGATATTGAGGACACGTGAGAAGTAAAAATATCAATGTGAGGCGTGCTTAGCTTCTGCAGCCTGTGGATTACTTCAACAGATAAAGCATTTCATCTTGCACATCTTTACAAGAAATCACTAACATGAAAGGCGAAGGAAAAAATACTATAGAAATTTGAAAGCTCTTTCAAAAATCCATGATTTTTAAATATTTGGACAATTATTTCTCTAATTATACCAACTGGTTGCACTTTTCTAAAAAAAATACATTAAAAATACATTTAATTAATATTATTACTTTCATTCTAGAAAGCCTTTTCTTTTTCTCAGAAGGAAAAATTCAAGGTTTGGACTATCATATTACTAATAATTAAGCATTGCCAAGAAGTGTTGAAGACATACCCAAACCTATTTTGGGTACAAAATACAACACCTTGTTGTATTTTTTTTTTTTTTTTATTTTTTGCTGAACTTCAGGACCTACACTAAAAGTGAAGTTTATAAAAGGAATTAAAAAAAAAAATCAATTAAATCAGATTAATTGGAAGGACTTGTCTGCTTCTGCATACAGCAACTGTGAGAAGAAAGTATCTTCATTGGATTTGTAGATGTTTCATTTTGCTGGGTTCAATGCAGAACAGATGAACTGGTCAATAATAAATACCAACAAGTGTTTCTATTATTAACCTGTATCATTATGAAGGTGGAATATGTGGAGCTGCGTGGAGAAACACAAGTAGAAACGTTAGTGTTAATTCTGGCATTTTTGCTTGTACTTTCAAAAGTCACTTTTCCGTTTTTCATAGATTTTTGCTATGTAATCACACTCTGGGAGATAAGTTCTGGGAGACAGATTACTAAAAAGCTCAGTGAAGTTATTGCAACACTTTCCTCTGACCTCAGTGGGAATAAAACC